TTTAATGTGTTTTTTTAGAACTCATTATAAATTAGCAAATTAGGATACAGATTTAAATACTTACCTTTAAAAGTTATATTACTAGATTGTATTTTAAATTCATATAAGAGATATTAAAAGAAATACAACATAAACATATTTACGAGTATAACTTCTTAAACTTTGTATAAAACTAGGTATATAACTCGCGCTACGCGCAAGTCTGTATTAATATTTTGGTTTATTTTTTTTAGCTACTATCTTTAAAATTATTAAAAATAATAGAAAATTTTATTTATATAAGAGAATTTAATATATAATATGTAATTTATCCTATTTTTATTTATAAATTTTAAAAAACTATTAAGTAAAATAATAACAATGATATCTATCTAATTATCCAACTTTGGTGTACATATACATTTGATTTAGAGAAATATAATTTTGCTAATATTTTGGTATTATTTTCTGTTTTCCATAGAATTTCTATAGTTCTTTTTTCTTGAAGGTTCATATGTTCAAATATTTAGTTTTCTATTGAAAGTCTTATTGATGTTGTGTACCACTGTATATATAATCCATGATTCATGTTGATTCACATTTAATTTTGTTAGGAAGCTGTAATGAGCATGCAAAACCATTTTTTCCTTCTCTATCATGTCTTCCAAGAGTTTTATATTATATTTTTATTCAGTTTTTATTGTTTTAATTGTTAAATCGAGTTGTTGTAGATTTTTTTAAATTGATAATTGATAATGGTTATTTTTTTTTAAACATGTATTGTTAATTGTTAATTTTTTTATTTAACTTTTAAAATTTTAAATCATATTAACATTTTGATTTAATAAATATGTTGATTTGGATTAATCAGATTGAATTTACTTTTTTTGTTGGACATAATTTGTTAAATTAACTTCTTTTTTTAATGTCTGAATAATATAACCCTGTAATGGGAAAACAGAGAGCAAAAATTACAAACTGTTTCAAAGGAAAACCAAAATTGAGCATCAAATTCTAAGGGAAGGATTCTCAGATACTCCTCATAGCTTCTCATTGCAGGCACTCATGTAACCATGATGGACCTCCCAATGCTAAGTAGGATTGGAAACGCCCCTCTTGAGTAACACTTCTGGCAATATCTCTTGCTATCGAATTGCATCCGGGTAATTCGAGATCAAACGAGCAATGTACAAAGCCTGCAGCTACCCTATGGATGTGGCCAATGAAATGACGATACCTTGGCCATTGCGAAGGTTTGGATATGGCTTCAATTGCCTCTGAATAGTCTGAGACCAATATCACATCTTGAACCCTTAAATCCGAAAGACTTTGTAACGCCCATATAATGCATCAAAATTCTCCGACAATCTGGGATGGGGACTTTGTGAATGCCTCCCGAGCATGAAAGAGGACTTCTCCGCTATGACTTCGCGCTATCCAAGCCCCACCGCTGTGTAAGATTGGATTCCTCCAATGTGTATGAATGTTACATTTCGTTGTACCTGCAATAGGAGGAGACCAAACAGAATGTGATCGCTGATTGTGCCCTGATTGTGGATCTTCTTTAGCATTCACCACCCTCCATTGCTTCGATTCATCCATCGCTCTTTGGGCTACCACATATGCTGCTTCATGAGTTTGAGCATATAAGATAGCATTGTGGTTTTTCCATATCTCCAAAAACACCCAAGGAATCGAGCATCGTACTTTTTCTGCTACCCCTGTATCGTCCATCTGATCCAACAAGAAGGATAGATTTGCATTCAAGGGTACTCCAAAACCTGTTGGTGGCATCGGGATATTGGCCATATTGAGGATGTCAGTTGCAGTCTAACATCGAAACAGCACATGAGAGATGGATTCAGTTTCTTGTTGGCAGACTTTGCATCTAATGTCCACATTCATTCCTCGGGTTGCCAATCTCTCTGCGACTGCAAGTGCACCTGACACTGCTCTCCATAAAAACACCCGAATCTTTAGAAGAGTCTTAATCTTCCAAACCCTTTTTTCAGCTCATTTTGGTCCTTGTCTTGTAACGATGTGGGTGGAGGTGGAGGGAGGGGATTATTAGATATATACCAGTATCCACTCTTGACTGAGTAGGCTCCTTGCTCAGAATAAGCCCATATGTGCATGTCTTCTGTGTTCCCTCCTGTCATCGTTAAGATCCTCTCTACATCCTCGTCGACAAACAGCTCTTTTAATACCTCAACTCTCCATTGGAATCTAGTGGATATCAAGTCCGACACCTTCAAGTTTATATTCATTAGGCTATGTTTGCTTTCTGGTCTCCGTGGGTGTGTATCCATAATCCATTTTTCTCCCCAGACTAGAAGAGGAGCCATTACCAATCGACTTAATCAGTCCTCGAGCTAGCAGTTCTCGCCCATGCAGGATGCTACGCCACATATAAGGTGGTCTATAACCTTTCCCACAGCTTAAAAAGTCTGTTGTAGCATAGTATCTACCTTTATATAATCGAGCTACAAGAGATTCCGGTTCATTGAGGAGCCTCCAAGCTTGTTTAGCCAGCAACGCTTGATTGAAATCCTCAATGTCACGGAAACCTATACCACCATCATCTTTCGATTTGCACATCTTCTTCCAAGCCACCCAATGAATCTTCTGCTTCTCTCCACATGCGTTCCACCAGAAATTAGCCATGACACTTGAAATTTTCTGGCAATGGTGTTTAGTAAGTCGAAAGCATGACATTGCATACACTGGGAGAGCCATAGCAATCGACTTAAGGAGTACTTCCTTTCCTCCAAGGGAAAGCGTTTTGGCAAACCATCCATTCAGTCTTTTGTTAAGCCTCTCTCCAATAAAAGCAAGTAGTTGTCTCTTTGATCCACTGAAGCATTCTGGTAACCCCAAATACGTACCAGCTCCTCCTTCTTTCTCAATGCCCGATAATACAGCTAATAATCTCCTTATAATCGGGTCAACATCTCGGCCAAACGAAATCGAAGACTTTTGAAAATGGATCTCTTGTCCGGAAGCATCACCATACAACTGTAAGCAATGTAAGAAATAAGAGCATCCTCGGAGATTAAATTAACTTTTAATGTTTTAATTATACTTAGGGGGTTATTGGGAGAGGGATTTATATAGATTGTGAGAATTTTGAGATTCCATCATTATTGGTTTATTGATTCTTAAAATCTTACTAAAATCCATTGTTATTGGTTTAAAGATTTTAAAATTCTATCCAAAATCCTTTGTTATTCAAAAAGTTTGGCTTTTAAAGATTTTATGATTCTATTAAAATCTTGTGTTATTGGGATATAGATTTTAAACAATTTAACTCATAGAACAAGATTTTGGAAGACTTTCAAAATATTACATATATGGCTTAGATTCTCAAAATCATTATAATAAAATATTTTCATAGATTTTCCAAATAAACAAACTCTTTTCAAATTTAACAAATCTTTTTAATAAATTTAACAAATCTCTCAACTCTTAGAATCAATCAGAATTTTATAAATCCATCTCCCAAAAACCCCCCTTAATAATTTTTAATTTGATTGAAAAGCTGATGTGGACCAATTAAATCAAGTTTTTCTGTCCTACTCATACTTAATATTTTTTTATTTAATGAATATGCTGATGTGGACCAATAAGATCGAGTTTTTAATCCCATGTGGACGTCCTCAATGCACTATGCCTTCAACTTTTATATATTATACTAGGTATATAATTCGCGCTACGCGCGAGTCTGTATTAATATTTTGGTTTATTTTTTTAGCTACTACCTTTAAAATTATTAAAAATTATAGAAATTTATAGAAATTTTTATTTATATAAGAGAATTTAATATTATAATGTGTACTTTATCCTATTTTTATTTATAAATTTTTAAAAACTATTAGGTAAAATAATAACAATGACACCTATCGAATTATTAACTTTGACGTACATATACATTTGATTTAGAGAAATATAATCTTGCTAAAATTTTGGTATTATTTTCTGTTTTGCATAGAATTTCTATAGTTCTTTTTTTCTTGAAGGTTTATGTGTTCAAATATTTAGCTTTTTATTGAAAATTTTATTGATATTGTGTACTACTGTATATATAATACATGATTCATGTTGATCCGCATTTAATTTTGTTAGGAAGCTGTAATGATCATGCAAAACCATTTTTTCCTTCTCCATCATGTCTTCCAAGAGTTTTATGTTATATTTTTATTCAGTTTTCATTGTTTTAATTATTAAATCGAATTGTTGTAGATTTTTTTAAATTGATAATTGATAATGGTTATTTTTTTATACATGTATTGTTAATTGTTATTTTTTATTTAATTTTCAAAAATTTTAAACCATATTAAAAAATTTTGATTGAATAAATATGTTGATTTGGATCAATCAGATTGAATTTATTTTTCTTGTTGGACATAATTTGTTAAATTAACTTTTAATGTTTTAATTATACTTAATAATTTTTGGTTTGATTTAAAAGCTGATGTGGACCAATTAAATCAAGTTTTTCCGTCCTAATCATACTTAATATTTTTTTATTTAATGAATATGCTGATGTAGACCAATCAGATCAAGTTTTTTATTCTCATATGGACGGCCTCAATGCACTATGCCATCAATTTTTATATATTATATGATGATGATTATTTAACATAAACATAATTACAAATATAGCTTCTTAAACTTTATATAAAATTGTTTGACGTAGGCGAATGCTTCTTCTAATTCAACTCGCTAACATTTTTACAAAATCTCTTGGCTGCAAAGAGTTTGAAGCTTTTCATTTTAAGTTGAATATTTGCCATCTTTACGCTTCAACTCAAGGAATATTACGGATATATTCCATATATTCAAATATGTCAATATTATTTATCAAATTGTATAGCAATCAATCGTGTACTAAGTTAAATGCTTTATGTATATATATACTTTGGCAATTGCCGCATATTCACTGATCAGGTTTGGCAGCAGGTTTACCAAGAGCTGATATGATATCTAATCCAAGTAATGAAAATCCAAACTAAACCGGTGGAATAACAGATAACACTAAACCGGGGGAAGAACAAATACGTAATTTAAACCCCCCAAAAAATTTCAACCGAGACTAACCGAAGAGCTCAGCGCTGCGAATCGACTCGCCATGAGTGGATTCAAGCTGGTGAACACAGCGCGGCATTCAATCACCGTCTCTAAGCGGAAGCGATCTTCGATTCCGGAACCATCGGTGGACCTATACGGGAAATCGAACAATCACGAGTCAGTACCCCGACCACTGGGACCCCAAACCCTAAAACCCCAACGTTCTCGTGCGCCGGAGTTCAGCCGGCGTATCTGTAAATCTGAATGGCCTAGTAAGTCTTCTCGCCGGCGTCGAATGGTAAGAAAGGAGAGGATCTCGAGTTCCGCTGAGCGCCAATGGGTGTTTTCCGCAAGCAATTTTAGAAAACTCAAAGGTGTGTGCAATGCAATCACACCGTAACTACAGCAATTGAGTGTATTTATCGATGATGAACACGGAATAATGCACTTATATGCTTTATATTAGCTTCACGTTCCCGTAATGTTAACACATCATCTGAATCTTTTTTTTTCTTTTTCATTTTGTCAGATAAAGTAGTTTTAGTTTCGTACAATATACTTGGTGTTGACAATGCGTCAAACCACATGGATCTGTATTACAACCTTCCGCCACAACACTTAGAGTGGAATAGACGGAAACATCTCATATGCAAGGAGATTAGTCGCTATAATGCAAGCATCTTATGCCTTCAGGCAAGCAATGTTTGTTTCTTGATAAATGCTTTTCTCGGTTATATCCTACACTTGTATCCTAGGTTGGTTCAATGTTAGCGTATACTGTCTCCCTTATGGTATGGTTCATTAGAGGCTAGCTCTCATGTCGAAAAATGGATTCTTTTTTATTAAAAACGAAATAGGGGAACGGTCTAGAGCTACAATATGTTGACGAACCTATTTTAATGCCATTTATATCCTACTACGTGTGTAGAAAAAGACGGTTGTCTTGTTGCATTATCATGTTTTAATTTCACTGCAGGAGGTTGACCGCTTTGATGATCTAGATAGTCTTCTTAAACTTAGGGGCTTTCAAGGTGTTCACAAGGTATGTATGATATGAATCAAGAACTATATAATCTCGTAGGCCAGGTGCTCTTTTTTAATACCTAATATTTTCTAGAGGCGGACTGGAGAAGCGAGTGATGGTTGTTCTATATTCTGGAAAGAGAAACTGTAAGTTCATGTTTCCATCTAGAGTCTTTTTGTGCGTCTGTATGTTAATGTCAGGAATCTAGCCATCTGAGATCTGTTCAAAGGGAATAGCTCTACTGGAATGTGGGATGTTATATTTTTATAGTTATAACTAGTCTCTGTTTCAAATGTCTCGAAATTATACATGATAGGTTGATGTTGTAATTAGTTACGACCTTTCGCTTCACAATATATCGTTAAAGCTTTGCTTTCTAATGGTTCTTGATGTTGTTCACTTTGTATTTAGCTTTTCCTCTCCTAGTTTCACAATTAATGTCATAGTTTAACTGTGAATGCAGATTTAAACTTCTACACCATGAAGAAATAGAGTTTGATAGATTTGGCCTGCGAAACAATGTTGCTCAACTTTGTGTTTTAGAGGTATGTACCACTTGATTGTGGAGATTACTTTTATTTTTTTCCCTTTCTTAATCTTCGCAGGCATGCTAATTGCTTAATATGCTTTAGCATCAGTACTTGCCAATTAATTAATCTGTCTGATCCTATATTTCGGAACAGATGATCTGTGAGGACCCAAAATCTAAAGTATGCGCGCAATCTTCAGAGTATGTCTGTGTTCTGTTATGATCCTTTATTGGAGAGAAGATTGTAGATACCGTCAAGATCTTTATTAATATTCAAGGTAAACTTGGGGTGACTTGGCTGATTTTTAGGCAAACATCTACAAGTCCTCGAAGGCTAGTGGTTGGAAACATACATGTCCTGTTCAATCCTAAGCGTGGGGATATCAAGCTTGGCCAGGTACGGATTGCTAAATCCTTACAAAATTCCAATGAAGTTGCCTTATCTATAGAATCTATAGAAATTGTTCTGATTAGAAATGTCGATGCTTTAATTATTAGCAAGTCTTTGAAGAGTATTTCATGGTATTTATTAGTACATCTATGCCTGGCATCGTAGGTGAAATCTCTTGGCTCATTTTGTTGATATTTTTGGTATGTCACAAACATTTAGGTGAGACACTTTCTGGAGAGGGCTTACAAGCTATCACAGGAATGGGGAAATATTCCAGTGGCAATCGCAGGGGATCTGAATAGCACTCCAAAGGTGATCTCTACCAACTTTTTTTTTTTGGTATTATATATTGTTTTGGCTGAATATTCTGACACTTATTCTGCGTTTTCTGTACAGAGCGCAATCTATGATTTCGTAGCTTCAGCTGATGTGAGTTTCATTGAGGATCCTGAACTCTTGCTTTTACATCTCACCTGGTCATTTTTTTTTTCTTCGCTGGGAAAGTTGGAGTGAACTCTTATATGTTTCGTTTTTCATTTTGGCAAGTTGGATACACAACTGCACGACCGTAGGCAAATTTCTGGTCAGTCTGAAATTGATACAAAGGAGAGGTCATTTAGAAACCGTTATGCAGTTAGGTAATTGGAAATTCGTTAAGATGCTTGGTTTCTCTGAGTTATGTATCTGTGTGCCTTTTCTGTTTATCTGATGAACTGGTAGATCACTTTTGATTATTCTTTGGCCCGTGCTATATCAATCTAGTCTAAGTAAACCAACTTCTCTATTTGTAGAGCTGCGGTATCCATCTCCGGATCACAAACCAATGAATGGAGCCAGGAAGAACTACAGCTTGCAACTGGTGGTCAAGTAACTACTCATGTCCAACATCAACTGAACCTTACCAGCGCATATACTGGAGTTCCTGTAAGTGTTTTCTTATTCTCTACTGCCTTAGGCATTTTATGTATGAAAAAAAGTCTACTCAGTCCAAAAATTTGATCGAAGAGTTGAAATCTGCCTGACAAGTTTCCCTTACCTGAAGGATAGAAAAAACATACAAGAGAAATGAAAGTCGAATTTTGCTCTTTAGGAACTGTGGCTTTCTTTTACACTAGATTATAACTAACGTATAGGGAAAGCAGCAACATCTTGTACCTGTCCTTCTACTATGCTAAGACCTGAGACCTTTCAGGGTGCCCATAGAACGAGAGATCAATGCGGTGAACCTTTGGCAACAACGTATCATTCCAGGTTCCTAGGAACTGTTGATTATATATGGTACGTCTGTTGTGTATGCATACATGTTATAGTTATAAAATTCTAACCAGTAATCAGAGATGTTAAATCTGTTTGGATCTATCTACATTATATTATTATGAAATCGTAGTTGTTAATCAAAGGTGTTGAAACCAGGCACACCAAGGAACTTGTTCCTGTGAGGGTTCTTGAAACCTTGTCAACTGATGTTTTGAGAAGAACAGGTGGACTACCAAGTGAGGTATGTATAATTTCTTTTTTCTTTATTTATTTTCTAAACCCATTTGTTTTCTTGAGTTACTTCTTTCATTTTCAAGGCTGTAAATCCCTGTTCAATTTGAAAAGTTGAAAACCGTGATTGCTGAGAAATTTTCTGACCGATGAAAATTTGCAGAAATGGGGAAGCGACCATCTCGCTATTGCATGTGAACTTGGCTTTGTCAGTGAGTGATAGACCAACGGCTTAAACATTGAAAAGCCCTAGTAACGTAGCCACCTGACTTCGTCATCTGTTAAGGTTTTTGAATGCTTATATGCTGCTCATGGAGTTTTGAAACAGCTTCGGTTGAAATTGTAACAAGTTTTGGGCTAAGCACCGAAAACATAGATTTTCTTACTGGAAACTGTTTTATTTGTTACACACGCTTTTGTTGGTAAGCACCAAATGTTTAGTCAACATCTTTACCAAATGTTCTGCTTTTTAGATGTAAATACCAAATTCCTATGTTTTCCGACGTGTACCTATGAGGAGCCAGGACCCATTTTGCTACAATAAGGAAGCAATCTAAGAGACGTTACGTAAAAAGTTTATCAATTAGGCTCTTCTTATGTGTGATCTTATGCGAATACATCAATCAATGACCATACGGTATTGTGGAAAAGAGTCGTAAGCAATTTCGCAAGTGTAGGAACGACATGGGTGACGCAGATAGTCCATTCACATCTATTTAAATCATTCTGTCTTCTCTTTAGCTTCACCAGCATTCCGGCCAAAAAAGAAAGATCACTGTAAAAAAGCACATTATGACAGTCAACCAGGAAAAGAACGTTCCGACAAAAACCCATGTCTTGATCTTCCCATTCCCAGCGCAAGGCCACATGATCCCCCTCTTTGATTTCACTAACCACCTCGCTTTACGTGGCGGCTCCGCCTTAACTATTACCGTCTTAGTCACATCTAAGAACCTTCCCTTTCTCTCTCCTCTTCTCTCCGCCGGAGATAACATCGAAACTCTCATCCTCCCTTTTCCCTCTCACCCTTCAATCCCCTCCGGCGTCGAAAACGTCCAAGACTTACCTCCTTCAGGTTTCCCTACCATGATCCACGCGCTTGGTAGCCTCCACGCGCCGCTTCTCTCTTGGATTACTTCTCACCGTTGTCCTCATGTAGCCATCGTCTCTGATTTCTTCCTTGGCTGGACCCAACATCTCGGAATCCCTCGCTTCGAATTTTCCCCTTCTGCTGCTATCACTTGCTGCATCCTCAATACTCTCTGGATCGAGATGCCCACCAAGGAAAACGGCGATGACGATGACGAGATCCTCGAGTTTCCGAATATCCCCAATTGTCCAAAATAACCTTGGTCTCACATCTCCTCAATCTACCGGAGTTACGTTCACGGAGATCCAGCTTGGAAATTCATAAGAGACGCCTTCAGAGATAACGCGGCAAGTTGGGGACTCGTCGTGAACTCTTTCTCGGCCATGGAAAGTGTTTATCTCGAGCATCTTAAGCTAGAGATGGGCCACAGCCGTGTATGGGCTGTTGGCCCACTTCTTCCTGTATCCGAGGGTAATCGTGGTGGCTTGACCTCAGTTTCTATCGACCATTTGATGTCGTGGCTAGACGCACGTGCGGATGACCAAGTGGTGTACGTGTGCTTCGGAAGTCAAGTTGTGTTGACCAAGGACCAGACCCTTGTTCTCGCCTCTGCGCTTGAGAAAAGCGGCGTCCATTTCGTGTGGGTCGTCAAGGAGCCAGTCGAGGAAGACTCGACACATGGCAACATCCTAGATGGCTTCGACAATCGTGTGGCTGGGAGAGGTTTGATAATCAGAGGATGGGCTCCACAAGTGGCTGTGCTCCAGCACCAAGCCGTGGGAGTGTTTCTAACGCACTGCGGTTGGAACTCCGTAGTGGAGGCAGTGGTCGCAGGCGTTCTGATGCTGACATGGCCAATGCAAGTAGACCAGTACACAGACGCGACTCTGGTGGTCGACGAATTGAGAGTGGGCGTTCGTGCCTGTGAGGGACCTGATACTGTATTGGGCCGTATATGTTTATATATATTGGGCCACATAATTTGTTGTTCCGATTAGGTCGTATGTAACATGTATATAAAGCGTTGGTCATTGAGCCGTAAACAATAAGAAACCTAATTACAACTTCTAAGTTTCTTGACATGGTATCAGCGCTTATCCTAACTACTTCAAGGATTTAAGCCTTCGATCTTGAGATCTCCAATTTTCCGCTAAGAGATCTTTTCTTTATTTATTTCTTATCTTTATATTGACCTCAATTTGTTGATCTTCTTTCAACAAATTCTCTTTGAACAATGAGTACCCAATCAGCCATTGTCACTTCGACGTCGTAATCTTCGATGTCACAGTCAAGGCGTACGATTTCTCCTTATGATCTGTCTTCCGGTGACAATCCGGGAACACTGATCTCTAAACTGCTGTTGCGTGGACCTAACTACGATGAATGGTCCATCAACCTTCGCTTGGCACTCAAGGCGCGCAAGAAATTTGGTTTTGCCGATGGATCCATACCGGAACCAGATGAAACATCCCCTGATTTTGAAGACTAGACAACGAACAATGCTTTGGTTGTTTCATGGATGAAGTTAACGATTGATGACAATCTCTCCACTTCAATGTCTCATATCGATGATTCCCATGAGCTTTGGACACACATTCAAAAACGGTTTGGCGTCAAGAATGGTCAACGTGTTCAACGCCTTAAACAAGAGCTTGCAACATGTCGTCAAAAAGGTTTGCCTATCGAAGCCTACTACAGGAAACTCTCTCAATTATGGAAAAGCTTAGCTGACTACCAAAAAGCTAAGACAATGGAAGAAGTTCGCCAAGAACATAAGGATGATAAACTCCACCAATTTCTCATGGGTCTCGACGAATCATTATATGGAGCTGTTAAATCATCTCTATTGTCTCGTGTGCCACTGCCCACACTTGAAGATGCTTATAATACCCTTACCCAAGATGAGGAATCAAAATCTTTGGGTCGACTTACAGAAGAAAGGAGTGACGGTGTTAGCTTTGCGTTTCAAACTACTTCAGGATCTCAATCTTTCACTGATAAGAAGAACCTCCCGGATACTCGTGTATGCACACACTGTGGGCACAATGGCCACTTGGCTGAACAGTGTTTTCGTTTGATTGGATATCCAGACTGGTATGAAGAGAAAACAAAGAATCGGTCAACTACAAACTCAGCTCGAGGGCGCAGTTCGAAAGGCTCTGTTTCTCATGGAAGTCGCAGTTCAGCAAATCATGTCTCCGCTCCTGTTTTTGCAACTAATGTTACCACGTCTGCTCCATCCTTGATGTCAGCTGATCGAGTGGGCATCAGTGGATTAAGCGATACTCAATGGAAGACGCTGGTCCAACTACTTGACGAGCGAAAACCCTCTTCCAACGAGCGTCTATCCGGTAAGTATTTCTCTGAATCTTGGATTATCGATACAGGGGCTTCAAATCATATGACTGGAGCTCTCGATTATCTTGTGGAAGTCTGTGATATGGCTCCTGTCCTTATTAAACTTCCGGATGGTCATTTCACTACTGCTACAAAACAGGGCAGTGTGCGTTTGGGTTCTGCTTTGAGCCTGCAGGAAGTGTTTTTCGTTGATGGCCTTAAATGTCATCTAATATCAGTTTCAAAATTGACTAGAGATCAGCATTATGCCTTCCAGATTACTGATAAGAATTGTGTCATTCAGGACCGCATCACACAGATGCTGATTGGAGCGGGTAGGCAGCGAAGCGGACTTTATTTTTTTCGAGGCATGGAAGTAGCAGCAGTGATACAGCGATCGGATTCAGAGTCTATCGATGTCTGGCATTAACGGCTGGGCCATCCATCCTCCAAGGCTTTAAAGATGTTGCAGTTTTCTGATTTCAGTAGTTCTAGTTTTGATTCTAAAGCATGTGATATATGTCTCCGTGCTAAACAAACCAGAGATCCTTTCCCTTTAAGTATGAATAAAACGAGTTTTGCATTTGAAATGGTTCACTGCGATATTTGGGGTCCGTATAGAACCTCTGCTCTCTGCGGTTCTCGCTACTTTCTTACTTTGGTCGATGACTACTCTAGAGCTGTTTGGGTTTATCTACTCACGTCCAAACAAGAAGCTCCGACACATATTAAGAATTTCTTGAAACTTGTTGAACGATAATTCACAAGCAAACTCAGAATCATCAGAAGTGATAATGGATCCGAATTTACATGCTTGTCGTCTTTCTTTGTTGAACAAGGGATTGTTCACGAGACTTCTTGCGTTGGTACCCCACAGCAAAATGGTCGCGTGGAGCGTAAGCACCGTCATTTACTGAACGTGGCTCGTGCTCTTCGATTTCAGGCTTCTCTTCCCATCGAGTTTTGGGGATACTGTGCTCTCACTGCAGCTTATTTGATTAACCGGACACCTACCCCATTACTTAATGGCAAGACGCCACTTGAGATGATCTACAAACGCTCACCACCTATGAATCATATCCGCGTTTTTGGTTGTGTATGTTATGTCCATAATCAGAAGCATGGTGGTGACAAGTTTGAGAGTAGAAGCAATAAATCGATTTTCATCGGATACCCATTTGCAAAGAAAGGTTGGCGTGTATACAATGTTGCAACTGGCAATATCTCTGTTTCGCGTGATGTCGTTTTTTGTGAGAGTCAGTTCCATTTTGTCTCCGATGAAACTGCATCCTCTCCTCTGCTCTCCCCTGTTTCGCTAAGTCATGTTGATGATACAGGAGACTCCTTTTTGTCACCTCCTACGGTTTCGCCTGCAGTTCAACCTGAAATCGTTTCTACGCCTGCAATTGTTTTGCCTACTGCATCTACACCTGCAGTTACTCCTACTACCACTGCGTCTGAGACCTCGTTACTTCCTCCGGATGACCCTCCTACAGTTCGAAACACCGTTCCTGCTCAGAGTTTACCTCCACCTACTGCTGAGATAAACGAGCATGTTGCTGCAGAGGAAGAAGAAGACGCGGCAGAGGAAGATGAGAATGTTACGGATGACACTACATTGGGTCGTGGATATCGTAAGAAGGAGCGGTCTGTTAAGCTTAAAGACTACGTGACTACTCTGATTTATACACCGTCACCCTCGGCTACACCATATCCTCTCGACAACTACTTATCAAGCTCTCAATTCTCGATCCATTATCAGGCATATATCTTCGCTTTAACTTCGGCTGTGGAACCTGCAACATATAATGAAGCTATTCTGGATGAACATTGGCGTAATGCTATCACGGATGAAATCGTTTCTCTTGAAGATCGTGGTACATGGACTGTCGAAGTACTTCCCCCTGGCAAGAAGGCTCTTGGCTGTAAATGGGTGTTTCGCATTAAGCTCAAGTCGGATGGAACTCTCGAGAGATATAAAGCTCGACTTGTTGTTCTTGGCAATCATCAAACAGAAGGAGTTGATTATACAGATACCTTTGCGCCTGTTGTTAAAATGGTTACCATCCGAGCTTTCCTCCAACAGGTTGTTTCTCTAGATTGGGAAGTACATCAGATGGATGTTCACAACGTTTTTCTTTATGGTGATTTGGATGAAGAAGTATACATGCAGTTTCCTCCAGGTTTTCGCACCAATGATAAAACGAAAGTCTGCCGTTTACACAAATCGTTGTATGGCCTGAAGCAGGCTCCTCGCTGCTAGTTCGCAAAGCTCACCTCTGCTTTGCAAGAATATGATTTTCGACATTGCGAAGCTGATTACTCCCTCTTCACCCTTGAAAAGCACGATGTTATACTTCATGTCCTGGTCTATGTAGACGATTTGGTTATCACTGGCAATTCCGTTGCAGTCATTTCCGAGTTTAAACTCTACTTGAGCTCGTGTTTTCATATGAAAGATCTTGGTATATTGTGCTATTTTCTGGGAATAGAAGTTGCTCGAAGTCCAGCTGGGATCTACTTATGTCAGCGCAAATACGCTCTTGAGATTGTTACTGAAACAGGTCTCCTCGGTGTCAAACCAGCTGTGTTTCCCCTTGAGCAAAATCACAAACTTGCTCTCGCCACTGGCGATACCATCTCTGATCCTGCACGTTATTGTCGCCTCGTTGGTCGACTGATTTACTTAGGAAACACACGTCCTGAACTTTCTTATGCTATTCATACTCTCTCTCAGTTTATGAATAGTCCTAAAGAGGCGCATTAGGAGGCGGCTCTTCGCTGTGTTCGGTATTTGAAATCAAGTCCTGGACAGGGTATTCTCCTTCGTTCAAAAACAGATTTGGTTCTCTCGGCTTGGTGTGATTCAGATTGGGCATCGTGTCCTATTACTCGACGGTCGCTTACAGGATGGTTTATCCAACTCGGAGGCTCTCCTTTGTCATGGAAGACACGGAAGCACGATGTGGTGTCGCGTTCTTCGGCAGAAGCAGAGTATCGTGCTATGGCTGACACAGTACAGGAACTTCTTTGGATTCGACAATTTCTTCCTGTTCTTGGTATCTCCTGCAACTATCCAATCACCTTACACTCGGATAGTCTCTCTGCCATTAATCTTGCTGCTAACCCGGTTTATCATGCTCGCACTTAGCATGTTGGTTTGGACTGTCATTTTATACGTGATGAGATCATACAGGGTATAATTGCTACCAAACATGTCTCTACGAAGTCTCAGCTTGCAGATATACTTACGAAAGCTTTGGGTCGCAAGGAATTTGAAGCATTTTTGGTCAAGCTGGGTGTTTGCAATCTTCACACTCCACCTTGAGGAGGGGTATTGGACCGTATATGTTTATATATATTGGACCACATAATTTGTTGTTCCGATTAGGTCGTATGTAACATATATATAAAGCGTTGGTCATTGAGCCGTAAACAATAAAAAACTTAATTACAACTTCTAAGTTTCTTGACATACTGTGCCTGATCCGGAGGAGTTATCCCGAATTTTCACTGATTCGGTCACCATAAAGCAAATGGAGAGGTTCCGAGCTGTGGAGCTGAGGAAAGAAGCGTTGGGTGCGATCCAAGAACGTGGGAGCTCGGTTAAAGATTTAGATGGATTTATCGAACATGTCGTCAGTTTAAAACTAAACAAATGATTCAGTCAAATAAAATTCAAGTTATGATAATTTTTTAACTCGAATATGCTCCCCAATAATGTAAAATTCAAGTTATCACCGCACACTTTAAATTTACTTTTTATTTATTAAAAAAAATAGAAACCAGAAACCGCACACATATATACAAACTTGTTGGATGAATGTTGAAAAAACGGATTTTAAAGTGCGGTGCAATTAAACTGTGACATGTATTATGCGGGATAAGTGTGGTTTTTACGTAAAATATGGTGCAAAATAATTTATGATTGGTAAACAGAACCTAAATTAAAGAATGCAATGCGATTCAATTGCAGTACGGTTATTGTAGAATAAGCTTTGTAAACTAAAATTTGAATGATGCAAGATACATATATATTTTAAGGAAAATATATTAATATAAAT